GCTGATGACTTCACAGTCCTTCCAAACAAGCGAAAACACGCAAACTCCACTGAGTGTTGGCTGAATGGTGGCTATTCTACTTGTTGGCTAGCGCGTCATCATCTGAGATGGGAATTCAATTTATGTAGCTCTAGGCTTTCATGTGTTCAAACACATCGTAAGAACTTGACACAGGTCAGCCTCAACAGCATCCGATTGAATCAATCAGTGCATCAGTGAGTCCTCTCCCTCTCTCTCCCTCTCTCTCTACTCTCCATTTTGGGACCTCTCGCAGTGGTCGGGCATCTGATCGATCGGCCCACGCGTGGGACACCGCGTGGCCTCACACATGTGGGCAACGGCAACGCGACGCGAATCGTGGGAAAACAGTGCCTTCACAAATACTGGTGAGTCAGGAGGTACTTTTTCTGTGGAGAGCGTAGGGGTTGCTCGCTTCTTAGCGATCACAACAATGAACCTCAATCAACTGGCAAATGAACTGAACATAGCAACAAGGCGACAATCAACAACGGTTGGGGTCCCTATGATATATTCTACATCTTACATAGACATGAATTTTGTGCATGCAGCTGAAATTGCAGGTAGTGTGTCCGCCCCCCATGTCCAACAACTTGCGATTATTACACAACATTAAATCTGTAGGAGCCGAGCTGCTCGACTCGACGCGCTCCACCCGCAGCTCCGCCAGCGCGTGGGACGCGCAAAGAAGCAGCTCTGCCAACACCGTGAGGAGCAACGGCATTGCACCGATTGTACTTGGATGTGGGCAATGACGGATGCAGAACACAATCATCAGTGCAACTGTTCAAGACCCTCTTGTTTGTAGGTTGCGCACATGAAGATTGAGCCTTGCTTGCATTTAATGCCTTTATAAAGTGTGCATTGTGGCCCATAGGCCATTCTAGACGGTATTTGTTGAGCTGTTTTGTCATGTGTTGCGATGCCGAACTGCAGCTAAGGCAAAGCACCTATTCTTGCAAGACATCGATGCCGCCTCGAGAAACTTGCTTGGGTGCTCAACTGCGTTAGGAAGCAACACCATTCACATGCATCTGAAGGAACCCACAACAGCAACTCATGAAAAGGCAACAAAACGATCCTATGGACGGTGCCCCCCTCCCCAGGTGCGCTCTTTTTATTCTCGAACTTATTCTTCACTGCGCAGACCTTCCTGCACTACTAGCACCCAAATATCAGCACTATTGGATAGGCATTTCATGACCCCCACTCAACAAAGAGGACCGGTGATCTTCCTAATTAGACTTCAGTGAACGCGACTTCCGTGAACACACCGGCGAACACATGACTCTACCTCGCCTTCACCAGACACAAAAACCTGAGCGACACCTCGCCGTCGAGCCAAACCGTGACGGAGGAGTCAGTGTTTCCATGGCACCCTGATCTCCGTGAACACCAGGGTAGGCTGAACTCCTGTAGGTCATCCATTCTGATCCTTTTCTCTGGGGCAAAAAAACCCCAGGTCGTCCCGATCCGAGGCGACGGCCATCGCCTCATCTGGCCGTCCGGTTGGGATCGGTCTTTCGCCTCGATTGGTCTGCTCGGCTTTGGCCAAACTTGGTCAAAGTTGTAGGGGAGGACACTGCACCTCCCTAAAAGCCCACCAAGAACTTCCAAAGATGTTCACATTATGGATTTTGTCTCTGGGAATTGGTGGATGGGGGGTAGGGGGCTACCAAGCACGAGCTTACCGTGCAACACCTATTCCGGACAGCTGGCATCAGTACAGATCTCTCGAGAACTGCATCTGAAAGTGCCAATTCTCAACCATCAGTTGAAGTTAAGCTTCTCATCACAAGTCCCCTTTTTCTCTTGTACCATCAGTATCAAACCGGACCAATTCAACCGAACGCTCTATCGTTTGCAGTCTCCCGACCAGAACTGAACCCCACGTCGCCTCGCCACGTCGCCGGTCATCCTCGACCTGCAGGCGATGCCGACCGAGGCGGACCGGAGGGACGGTCCCCGGCGTCGGCGATGAAAGCGCCGAATCCTCGACTGATCCGGGTCAGGTCGACGAAGATGTCTAGTGACTAGTGAGTGGAATCTGGAAGTCTCAAACTGTTGGACTTGCTGTGTTCTTTGCAGACTATCGTGGTAAGTGGCATGTGGTGCTTCAACATGAAGATATACTTTTCGCGCGTCGGAGGCTTGGGCGTGGTTTCAGGGTGCCCAGAAAAGTCTTGTGTTTCACGTGTTTCTTTTTCTTTTTCAACATGTTCATCATCGAACTTCATCGATCAAAATTTGGCATTGCTGCATGGCAACACCCGAGTTCGGCCCATCGAGCGTTCTCTCGCCACCGAATGGCCCAGATCACAAGGTTTCAATAGAAGGAACGAAGAAATCGAGCACAGAAAGGTAATCACGATCTTGACTTGAAACTGCCAAATCAGTTGACATCAGTTGACTGAAAACATGGCGGTGGCTGGTTGCTCATGTAGGGTCAAAACACTAAACAAATTGGAAGAGAGACGACCTTGTGCGTACTCTCACAAAAACGGATTTGGAAGCTATAATCAAGGCTTCCTATGGGGTCACGACTCTTGCGCTTTCCCGGAAAATACGGTGCACCCAAGCAGAATTTGATTCGAGTTTAATTATGATAGTTAGCTTTGACCTAGACTGTGCAGCAGGCTATCAGTCGCGCTTTCCACATTTGCCAAGTTCTTGTCCAGCATCTCTTCCATCAATTGTCTGATCCGGCCATCCATGCTCTCCAAACTGCCCAAGGTGTTGATGATGTACTCGAAGATTTTTCTCCTCGTGGAGTAACTCAGAGAGATAAGAAACCACTCAAATCAGTGGTCCAAGCTAGCCTTCACTAGTCCGAGCCGACCAAAATCCTGTGGTCCCACATAGGAAACTTGTTTCCAATGACTTGCACATGTCTGTTACTGCACCTCAGCCTGGCGAAGCAATCATAAAGAACAACATTAGCACCCTGCCAAAAAACACTTTGGAAGACTGAGCCAAGAACCGACCTTGGTACTCTGAAAACATTTTTCACACATGCATCTTTCATGGATGCCTCATCCCTGTACAAACTTTTCACTGACCCCTTGCGGCAAACAGAACTGCTCCGTGACCCCCTCTCCAATGTGTTGAAGCAAGCTTCCTTGCTCCTAGTAGCGATGCCCTTTGCTCCTAGTAGTGTCCTCTACCCCCCCCATGTGTTGAAGCAAGCTTCTTGTCTTCGTCACTTGATGCTTGGCACTTCGACACCTGAAGGCACTCGATCTTCTTGCCCACTTCCAAGGCAATGTCAAAGGACGTGCACCCGTCCTCAAACAATTGATACAGTATGTGACACAGGCGGTTCATGGAATGGTGGACCCGCACGTGGCCACATGGACCAAATGGACTACCAAACATGGTCAATCGATGTCAGGGTTGAATGCAGTATTTGGTCTAGTGCCCTCACACCCTCATGTGTACCCTCCCAGGCTATGATGAGCGAAAACAGTCTAGTGCAATTGCAATCGATTTGCCTCCGCCCGGACCAACGATGCAAAAACCGTTGTGCGCCACTTCAATGCGACCGAAGCGTCGTCACCTACGACTCCCACGTCAGTCGCGAAGACCAGCTCCAGCTGCTCACGACTGGAGAGGAGGAACTCGAACAAGCACCAAACTCCTGAAGCAGTCTCTGCGCACATGAAGACGTGTCTTGTCTGTGTGTTCTCTTTTATATAGCTAGTTTGGACTTTGGTTTTACATCGTTCGAAATGGATGATTGATGGTAGTCTTATGATGGTCTTTTCTTGAGATTTGTTTTGGTCCGTGCTCCTATAGCGTGTCCGTGCTTCTACAGTAGACCAGCGTTTTTGTCATGGATTTCACATGATTCCACATTGGCCTGAATAAGTAAGGAGAGATTTCACCAAAGGTCCAAAAGATGAAACACACTCAACAGTAAACCAACAGTAGACAGTGCTATTTAGTCATACAGTAAATTCTATTCTACAGTGGTTATTCAGAGTAGACGGCACAATCCCCAAGTTCGGTGGTTTAGAAGGGCCCCCATTTGTCAAAGACATCTTTGGGTGCCAGTGCCATCGAACCTTTGAAACCACCTGTAGGACCAGCTTTTTGGTCTCTAAACACAGGCCGTGTGATTTGTTTTCTCGGTATGCAAACCTGAAAGTTATCGGACACCTGTATTGAAACCAAACTAAGCAAGAACGGTGCATATATGGATGAGGCACGCGAACCTAAAACCTGTTTGCACCCATTATCATGTATAGGACTCTGACATGTGGCTGGTTGGTCATTGAACACGTGTCATAAGAGTTGATGTGGAATGTATGCAGAATGCAACTTGTTTCTTTGTGCTTTTCCCTGTGCTGTCGAGTCTCGTGTAAGCGGTTGCACCTCGCGATCCAAAACCATTGCAACTCCCTTAATTCCACCCCTTAAAGCCCGAGCAAAAGCGCTATCCATCGGATCATCCGCCAATTCGGCTGCGATATTCCACTGGTTATTGGCCTGGGCGTTCGCAAATGAAAGCATGACAAAGCCTGGACACCATTGCTGCGGGTCAGGAGACATCACACATGCATTTCTGAAAAGTGAGCATGTCGGCTGCAACATACCGAAAGCAATGAACACCCTGGAGGCGTCGAATCCGAACCCATCCATTCCCATCAATGGCTCAAAAGTGTGAAGCCCATAGGACCATAGGATGTCCATCAAATATCAATGAATGAATTGAAGTAACCATTGATATTCCTACAACTTACCAGTAATATTGGGTACAGGTACAATATCAATTACAGCTACAGTATCAATATCACTCAATAAGGAGCTTATTCTACTGTCTGTCTGGGTCTCTGCCTCCCTCTCCCTCCATCTCTCTCTCTCTCTCTCCCTCTCTCTCTCTTTCCCTCTCGATATTCCAAACCTATACATAGCCCCATTTGGACTGATCCGAAAAGCAAGGACGTTTACAACATCTGAAACAAAGTTCAGTTCCAAGTGACAAAGGAACAAATCCAATAGGCTGCGCCCATCCAAGATGTAGGGCCTTCCTTGGACAGGGCGTGGCAGCGGATGGAGTGCACAAAGTGAGAGAAGCTCGTGCCCCAGGAATGTGACCTCGGATTTGCGTGTGGCTGTCAGGCTGAGCGCATGAATTTGACGCATCATGTGGAGTCTTGATTTGTAGAAAGCTCCGTCCTACCAAACATTTGCCTCTGGAAGTCTTTGACCTACCTTCCCCAAAAAGACTTCCAGGCCGTCCGGCTGATTGGCGCAGAAATTTCGTGTGGTACGGGTACTGCCCAATGTGTGGTACTGGCCCAATGTGATGGCACTGGTCTATTTCCATCGGACAACAACTTCGTTGGAGCCTGGGTCGGAGTGTAAGATTCAACGTGGATGAGCTATCTCCATCAAAGAGTAACGAAGTGCATCCGCAGCTACTTCTCTGACTGGATGGATCACTAATTCAAGCAACAGTGCACTTACTCTGCAACCAGGGATGTTAAGGTGCTTTCCTAGCCAGATGTATCACTAAATGAGAATATATGATCCGAGCACTTCTGAAATTCAAGCAACAGTACACCTTTGTTTTTATGCAATTCAACTGACCTTCTAGAAGCGGGTAACTCGAAGCACAACTCAATCAGAACATTTTGACGCATGTAGGAGCAAGGGATTGACTTTCTTGCGCAATAACAGCCAGCTTTATGATCGAAGGGACACAAAGTAGTCCACCTGCTTGCCACCCCAAAGAGTCACGAAGGACACGCCTTTACTCTGCGTCAGGGGCCTTACAATGTTGGCCACGACAAAATGCATGTTCTGCTCCAAAATGAAGCCTCACAAAGCTCTGTGCATGGAGGATCGTCCTGATTCGAGTGATTTGTTTTGAATGTGAACTAACACTTCAAAATGTTTGGGTCAAGGCAAAATTCTTTCCAAGTCTTCCTGTGAAATGAACAACGAATGGATACTAATATGTACTACATGAAACAACCCAATGAAAACTTAGCTGACGAAAGCAAAGAAACTCTCGAAGTGCTTCCACAATCCGCGCAGTGTAAGGACCAACAGGCCCTGGTTGCGAGGATGGGTTTCATCTGGACCTGGATGAGGTTTGCAGTCAATTTGTTCTTGGTAGTCATCTAAAGCCTCTGAGAAGGGCGTTCTACGGTACAGGCGTTGGATAAGCCATGACACCGGCCAATGCAGCACCGCAGCGACCACCGCCATTGGAAGAGCAAGATAGATAGCAATACTGACCTTTTCTGGGATTTAAAGAAGGGACTGTTGGCACCAAACGGTACACACAAAGCCAGAATAACACAACAAGTGCTTACAGAACACTGCATAAACTATTCTTTCCAGTTATTATCCAAGTGACAAATGTATGTTCAAAGCTGTTTCCGGATACGACTGCGACTTTGATGATGGTAGGCAGCATCGAAAGCAAAAATACCAAGGCAATCAGGAGGGTGAAAATGAAACAAGTCTCAGTAGAGTGCAGGGAACCCCTGCAGGAAGCGCAATCAAATGGCACGTGTGCATCTTGAAGCAAAAGCTTTTTCCGTGCCACGCTGCAAACCTTGATTGCCTTCGGCTCTTGTTGATCAAATTCCAGCCATTGCAAACCAGTTCCCCTTGCACGATAATGCACTCTCTGGTGCACCAGTCGAGATATGCTCTTGGGAAGGCTGGCGATCGGACCCTGCACTGAGATGGTGAAGATCCTCTTGGCGCTCACTTCCGAAGGATCTTCCAAATCAGACCTGGCATCAAGAATCACCAAAGGAGTCTGAAGGATCTCGAACATGATGAAGGTCAGGATCACGAACACTGCTGCACCCGTAAATAGGATTACACGCTCTGGCCACTCGCGTGGTAGCAAATGGCAGACGTCACGTTTGCCATCAGACCAAGGTCGGTAGATCTCACACGTGCGACAAACGCCATCCCGGAAGTAAGAGTGTCTGTTGCCTCAGGAATGCAGTGAACACCAAGAAAAGGATTGATCGCAGTTGTGATTTGCACAGCTTCTGCGAAAACATCCTTTGCAATGGAACGGTCAGCAAAACCACTTCATTCTGCCACTTGCTAGCGAGTTGCAGAATCTGCACGTCTGGAACACGTCTTCGAGAGACACTAGTTCTGTATTGCGGAAGTGCTCGCCGGTAATCCTTCGTTCTGTTTGAGATGATGCTAGTTGACCATGTGCCCCTTCACACTAGGAGAGCCAACAGACTAAAACCCGGGTCCGCTGCAATCAAATAAGCTAGCGGGATTTCTTCAGGCCATTCATCAACAAAAAAGCCACAACCAAACGTATAGAAAACTACGACGTCATATGACCGATTGATGCATAGAATCCGGTAGTCTCCGCAATCGCAACGTGGCGTCAAGCCATTTGACCTGAAAGCCAGCCAGGACTTTTCAGCAATCTGGTTGAAATGGCAACAGCTTTTGTCACATTCCAACACATTCTTTTACAGCAAAGTATTCAAACATGTTTTCTTTTTTAAAGGAGATATTCGATAACGTGCAAGAAGAGTTGGCAAGCATATATTCTCACCAAGTGGCACGGTGAAGGTCTTGGAGCATTGGAGATTTTCAGGGCTCAGAGCTTGCAAGGTCCCATCCTCTGTTGCATTGAAAGTCACTCCCTGCGGGCAGTCCGGGCATGAAATGGCCAAGGAGTCGATACTGAAGTTCTCCTGCAGGGAAGGCTTTTGAAGAGTCAATGCTTCTTGGCAAAGGTTGATTTGTTAATACATTCTCTTGAAAGCAAAGGATGACTTAGTATGGGAGGGATTGAGAACTTCCATATTTCTGCAGCATGTGGCACATACTATATCAGACATGATATGCACGTGTACTGTATATATATATATATTTAATTCTTCCCTGTAGAGCAAGAGCCAAACATCTCAGTTCAAGACTGGCAGATCCTGGGCAGCTAGGATCTGCAGATTGTTGACCGGTGGCTGGTAGTGGATGTCGACATGGTCGATGACCACATAGCTGGGGCTTGTGGTGAGGAGCGAGCTGTTCCAAGAGTGCAAATGAATGCCTGAGAGGCGCACCTCTTCATGAGGGCAGGCTTCTACTGACAGAAGACCTGAGCCCAAGCGACCAGTTGCATTCAGGGCTGCGCCATCTGCCACTTGGAACGTGGTGTTGCTGCAAAGAGGGGAGCAGGCGCTGTTTTGCAGATCAAACCCATGCCCACCAACGATGCCTTCGAGTACTAGGTTTGAATCAGGATGTAGTTGGAGGCAGCTTGCTACCAAAACAGCAGAGTTTGCAGCGCCTTCTGCATGATGAATGTCTAAGCTGGACTGCGATGAAAGAAGCACCATGCCATCCACACGGCCTGCGGTGCCTGTGTGCACGGCAGTCGAATTGGCCATCGACATTGAGCTATTGTGGATAGTCAGGGCAGTGCCAACCTTGAACCCACCACCAGCTACTCCTGCATAGGTGTCGGACATGGCAACTGTAGATGCATCGGCCAGTGCCATGCTATCTTTAGCATAGAAACCTCCACCATACGCTCTTGCTGCGGCATGCTGAATGCCGACAGTTGAGCTGCCGATTGCAACCTTGCCACCAGCATAGACTCCTCCACCGCGGCCTCCAGCTGTTGCATTCAGAATGATGAGGGTAGAGCGGCTGGAGACTTTTAGGTCATTAGCGTCAAAGCCTCCCCCGTTTCCAGAGACTGCATGGCTGTTGGAAATGTTCACTGTCGAGCTTCCACTTATCCCAACTTCTCCAACAACATAGAACCCTCCTCCATTTGTGCCAGCCTTTGCATTTTGAAGGTTGAGTATTGACCTATTCATCAACTGCAGGTCTCCCTGCACACAAAAGCCGCCGCCTTCATCTGCTGCTGCTACTGCATCAGAAACGCTCACATTTGACATTTCAGAAATCACAAGCTGGTCATTTGCAAGGAAACCTCCACCGAGCCCTGCTGCTGTGGCACGCTGAATGTTGACTGTTGAGTTGCTCACTGCAACCTTGCCACCAGCAAAGAACCCTCCACCATAGAGTCCTCCACTTGTTGCATTCAGAATGATGAGGGTGGAACTATTGGAGATTTTGAATTCATTTGCTATGTAGAAGCCTCCCCCCTCTCCAGAGATTGCCTGGCAGTTGGATATCTTCACTGTTGAGTTTCTGGTTATCTCAACCTCTCCAAGGAAACCTCCTCCACCATCACCAGCTTTCGCATTTTGAATCTTCAGTGTTGAGTTGCCCGTCACCAGTAAATGATTGTCCACTCGAAAGCCTCCGCCCCGTTCTGCTACCGCGTCAGAAATGCTTACTTTTGACATTCCAGCAAGCACAACCTTGTCGAGGGCACGGAAACCTCCACCAAGCCCTACTGCCGTGACATGCTGAATATTGACTGTTGAGTCGCCAATTGCGACCGTGCCAGCATAGAATCCTGCACCAGATACTCCCGTTGCATTTAGAATGGCGAGGGTGGAGCCAGTGGAGATTTTCACATCTTTGGTAGCGGCAAAACCTCCCCCAGCTCCAGTGACTACATGGCTGTTGGAAATCTTCACTGTGCTCCCAGCTATCTCAACCTCTCCAATGGAAATGAAGCCTCCTCCATTTTTGCCAGCTCTCACATTTTGAAGGTTGAGGTTTGAGTCTGTGATTCGACAACGCTTCTGCACCTGGAAACCTCCTCCTTGAATTCCTGCTTTTGCATCAGAAACGCTCACATTTGACATTTCAGAAATCACAAGCTGGTCATTTGCAAGGAAACCTCCACCGAGCCCTGCTGCTGTGGCACGCTGAATATTGACTGTTGAGTTGCTCATTGCAACCTTGCCCTCAGCAAAGAACCCTCCACCATAGGGTCCTCCACTTGTTGCATTCAGAATGATGAGGGTGGAACTATTGGAGATTTTGAATTCATTTTTTGTGTAGAAGCCTCCCCCATATCCAGAGACTGCCTGGCTATGAAGAATCTTCACCGTTGAGCTTCCTCCTATCTCAACCTTTTCGTTGGCGTAGATGCCTCCTCCACGGGCGCCAGCTTTCACATTTTGCAGGTTGAGCGTTGAATTCCTCGTCACCTGCAAACCCTTCCCTGCAAGGATTCCTCCACCATACTCTGCAGCTGTAGCATGCTGAATGGTTATTGTGGAATGGCTTGTCAAGTGGAGCTGTTCCTTTGCTAAGAAACCACCGCCGCTCCTTGCAGACGCATGCTTGATGAAAATCAGCCCGCCATCCTGGCAAGCTCCGCATACTCGCCCACTCTCTTCCGGCCAAATGTATTTAACAACTATATCTCTTTGGTCTATCGGTCTATCCTATTCACTTCACAGTGGATGATGATGGTTAGTAAAGGCCTATAGCGATCATTGTGTTACCGACTGGTACACAAAAACAGGTTTAAAATTGGTGCACCTGACATTCGAGCGAACCACTTCGAACGTTTCATCCAGCGGTGTCTCGTTTCATCCGTTGGAGTTCACCGAATTCAGGAGTCTGGCGGACCTTGGGACAGTTCGGGGAGTTCGCGAACAGGAAACCAAACACGGACATGTTCGAAAGCAAAGAAAAGGTATAGAAAACTGCCCCAAGAATAAAGACAACAACTATATAGATAGATAATAGATATCGAGACAATCACCGAGCTTGAAAAACCAGCTGGAGCATGCTAGAGGATTCTAAAGGGAAAAGCGCACATAAGCAAAGGGTGAGGAAAGCGGAGGAAACATGGGGAAAGTGAGAACAATCGAAGGCCAAACCATGCACTGACGACGCTACCCTTCACATTAGCCATTCAGATCGGTGTTGCACAATTCGCCAGCACAAGATTTCTGTCTTTATCGACTGCAATCATGGCTGTGCCACGAGGACGCAATGCGTGCGTGAGGTGCATGGGATATTGTCCTCGAACCATCAAGAAAAGCGGGTGATTCTTGAGTTGACGGGGCGGTGAACAAACAAGCCAAGCGGCAAGTAGAACAAGGTCAGGGCATGCAAAGCACGAAGTAGAAACATGTGAGGGAAACACACAGGAACATGACAGGTCAGTTGGAGAGGAAAAGCCCTGCACCACCTGCAACTTACCAACTGGACATGTAGTGCAGGAAATGACAGGTCAATGGGGAACACATGCGGTCTGGGACCATTTTGCACCAATCGCTCCGGTCTCCACGGTGATCGCTGAGATCCGCACGGAAATGTCGGCGTCGCCCTTCACAAAGAATCCAGCGCCGTCGCCCTTCTGTGCCGAAACGTTCTCAATGAGGACTTTGGAGAGCTCACGTAGTCTCCTCGGAGGCCGCTCGCAGGTGGGTCCCTGGGTGGGGTCAGCTCAAAGTGTACATCGAGAGAATTGTGCACCTTTGAATCCGATGCTGTTCTATACCCAAAAGGAATCCAATAGAACACCCGGCTTATCCACTTAGGGAGGCTTCGGAAGGGGACACTGGACAAAGCGGGCAGGGCCCCCGCCAGCGGGTTTGGGCGCTGTTCGTGCCAGTGATCTTATGGAAGCAAAAAGAACCAACTCCTCGCACTGATCACAAACTTGCACTGGTCGGTGGCCATGTCTCAAGGCCCCCTCTCCGTAAAAGCCTCCGCCAGACTCGGCGGCTGCAGCATTCAGCACTCGAAGGCTTGAGGAAACCAACGTCCTTGGCCGCAAATCGAATTTGAAGAATCCAACTGAAGGATGGAGTTTGGTTTATGTTTGGTCTCACCAGGATGCTTCCGCGGTCTCCCTAATTAAGAACCCACATGAACACCAAGAAGGCAGCCCCTCTACACACCAGCAAGCTCTTGGAAGAACGGCCAAGGAGACCTATCTGCCTGTCACCCTGCACACATGGTTGGCTTGGTCTGGACAGCCGTCTTTTAGAAAAGACTTGATAGCCATGGCCTCCAACCTGAGAGCGATGGCCTCCAACCTAATAGCGTCGTAATCCTTTTGCATTGATGGCCACAGGCCTTTGGGACAAAGTCAAAGCCCTTGAGCTCTCGAGAAGGGTAAAGACTCAGCGCCAGGGCCATTGTTTTGCAGGATGGACCCTCTTTTGCTTTTCCTTGCCAGGGACAAACTCTGTTTAAACAACTTGATCAGGGCTGCACACAATGCAGTTGCACAAGTGTCAATTGAGATCACCATTCCTAAGGAAGGATCAACAACTAAAGCGAATTGCCCTTATCCACTCCACTCTTGCTGCCCAACGGCAGGTCTGCAGCTGCAAGGCCACCCCCATTCACCGCTCGCGTGCCTCTCACCTTTGCGAACAGTTCTGACGTGCAATTGACACTGTCCAACTGTCCAACCACCCCGACCGCACTGGGTTGCACAGTTCACCGATCAGACGTGCAAACTGGACGACTGGACCTGGAACCATGTCCAGCACAGCGAAACCGGACGTCTCTTTGGTGGTTTCAATCACACCTGCTGCTCGCTATAAGCTACACCGTGAAACGGAAGGACGAGGTGTTCTTTGGGCTTTCCACTCCGACGACCACATCAAATGGAAGTGGAGATCACATGGCTCATTGGAGAACAATCTTCTGACGCCCAAACAAATTCTATGGAAAATGAGTCTGAGTGTCAAAGGGTGTCACATAGTGGTAGGCTAGTCTCTGCGTGCTCTCCAAGGGGCTGTGAGATTGGATCTCCTCAAAGTGACTGGCCCGTTGCTGTGAAAAGCGCCGCCCTTTTCGATAGAGAGATCTGGAGCTTCATGCCATGCTTCCACTTGAGCATCTTCAAAGGTCATACTCCTCGGTTCGAGCGAGATCACTGGGTGTAGGACCGTTTCAATATGCAGAACCAATGCATCACTTATACAACTGCTCTTGTTGAGAATACCTTTCCAAAAAGCGAATTTGATGCTATTCTAGCTCAGTCTTCTTTGTTACCCTCCCTGCAATGAGCATGGAAGTCGACAATGCCTGGAAAAGTTCAGCATGAGTTTGATGCTATTCTCATTCTAGACGAGTCTTCTTTGTTAATTAACAACACGTGGAATAAACAAAACGAACACAGTGTTACCCTAATGCTGTCAAAACAAACTCTAGGTCCTCGTTT